ATGAAGATGATGATGATGATGATGATGATGATGATGAAGATGAAAAAAGGTGGCTGAACAAAACGGCCGGTTCGCCGATTTTTGACTTTTCGCTTAGACAAGGTCTAGAGCCACGCTAGTTATACCATTGGAGTCCTCTGGTCAAGATGAGGTCCTCTAAGAAGTCTGGTAAGCATAAGAGCTCGTTTTCCCGGTATAGCAAGGCTGCAAAAGTCGTGGCAGCCATTTTGTTTGGGGGTGAATCCTACTTAGTAACGCTACCGCGTTACTAATAGTACATGGTCTCGGGTCAAATTTCACCAAAAATGAAAAGTAGAGAATTCTCCATTTTTATTGCATTTTCTGATGCACATACATGTATTTATGTTGTGTAGAAAGTTTGAGCTGATTCCAATCAAATTTGGATTTTTTTACGAATTTTAAAAGTTTTTTTATAAATCCTCATGTAGTATTACTGATTCTTTCTTTCCTTCAGTTGCTCTACCAGTTAACTTGTGCTGTTGATCTTGATACTTGTACCCTATCAGAAGTCCACATCCCACGGTAACACTCAGTCACATGACCCTCACATGACCTCTTTCTCCCTCAGTATCATTATCAATAGGGACGTACTGCAAGAGTCTCTGGAGGACTCATATCACTTGGCATCCGAATCTTCGTATGTTACTAATTTTAGCACTAATGTTACTATTTTTAGAATTAATGTTACTGTTTTTAGCATGATGTCACATGTACATATTTGTTACTATTTTTAGTATTAGTGATGCTAATTTTTTACGTACCATGTTTGATACTATTTTTAGCATTAGTGTTACTATATATAGAATGTGTTACTATATTTGTCAATAGGAGCAGTGTATTCAATACTCCTCCTGGAGGGAAAGGACAAGAAGAGGAGGAAGAGGAGGAGGAAGAAGATCATAATGAAACTACTTCATCTTTTTCACTGGTACCAGTATCTGTAAAACTTATACTTATGGCCATTTTATCTCTCTCCCCCTCTCTCCCCCCTCTCCCTCTCTCCCCCTCTCTCTCTCTCCCTCTCCCCTCTCTCTCCCCCTCTCCCTCTCTCCCCCAGTCTCCCCCACAGGTTAACGATCCGTTGGCTGTATCAGCATCAGATGATGTCAATGATTCCAGTGCTTCTGTTAATGTCGTCATTAAAGAAGGCGCTGAGAGCGTCAGATCCTGTACTCCAGTGGGACAGTCCACTCCTAATCTACAGGGGTACATCAATCAGTGTACCTGTACACGTACTCACTTTTAATTGATAGTACTCTCCAAGACTTATTTGATAAAATATACCATTATTGCCTGTATGTGTTAATTCTTTTGAGTCAATTTTTTTAATTATTATTTTAATTTAATATACTCATGTACATGTATAAATGTATCTCTCTTTTTCTCCTCCTCCTGCCCCTCCCCTCCTATTAGCAGTCAGTTCCTCTCTCCGTCTCTCAGTCCTAAGGTCCCGAGAGGTTACAGTTCTTGTACCAGCAGCAGCAGTAGGGGAAGTACCCCCGGACCTACTGATACTGATATGACTGGAGGTGAGAAATACTGCCATTTTATTTATTTATTTATTTATATGCACATGTACATGTAGCTAGAACAATTCTTTAATTTTTGACTAAACTTTGACCTCTTTTAATAGCGGCCTATAGTGTTAATTTTTGTTGAAGTAAACCCAAAATTTATTTCATCCAAATTTTTCAGCTATACCTACACCTATATAGTACATGTATCACTGCACATTAATGTCACTACTTAATCTCCCCCCCCCTCTTTCTCTCTCCCTCCCTCTCCTGCAGCTGTTGGTGTCATAGTCAGTCATATTAACTCACCCAGTGAGTTCTACATCCAGTACACCAGTGACCTTCCATCATTGGACCACTTTCATTCAGAGCTAAAAGGAGAATCACTTCAGAGGATCAGTGGCTTACAAAAAAGTATGTACATGTACATGTATATGTATCAGGAAATGTAATAAAATGAAGAATTCTCGTCCTTTAAATTTTGGCAAAATTTAGCCAACACCCCTGTACTATATAGTACAAGGACTTTGGCCCGATTTTTTTAGCAACTTTAAAATTTTGTAAAAAATCAAATTTTTATTGGAATGAGCTCAAACTTTTTACAAAACATAAGAATATGTATATGTATCAGGAAATGTAATAAAAATAGAGAATTCCCCCAATTAACCACACACCCTCCCTCCCTCTCCTGTAGATCTGGTCTGTGTTGTAGTCCGTGAAGACTCTTACCGTCGCTGTCAGGTTGAATCTTCTGACGATCACTCCTACCCTTCTGTTCAGCTCCTTGACTATGGGAACTCTGAAATAGTCAACGTACACAGGTAACCCTTAGCAACGGTCACCATAGCAACGGTCGTCATGTCAACCCTTGTCATTTTTATAGTTTGTTCTATCTCCCGTCAAAGTTCAAGGAGACTCCTCTGTTTGCTCATAAGTGTCGGTTGGAAGGTATCGGGCCAATGTCTTCTGGAAGACATGACAAGTACCAGATCACTCCACAAAATGTTTGGAGTCACTCGGCAAACTCATTCTTTAAGAGCGTCTGTGAAGATAAAACCGATATTAAGATGAAGGTATGCGGGTATATTTTATCATTACTACTAAATTTTAATTTGTAATTTATAATTATTATTATTTTGAAGTGTTGATCTTTGTAAAAAAAAAGTTTATATTTTAAATAATTTTTACAAAAAAATTAATAAATTTTTATAAAATACAATAAATTTTCAGGTTTTTTCCAAGGAAGGGAATGTCCTTTTTGTTGATATTATTATTCCATCAAGCAGTGGTGGCCTATCCATTGCTAGGCAACTCGTCATA